CCGTGGTCTGGGTGGACGTCTGTGTCCCTGGTCTGGGCGGACGTCTGTGTCCGTGGTCTGGGAGGGCGGTCTGTGTCCCTGGTCTGGGCGTACGTCTGTGTCCGTGGTCTGGGTGGACGTCTGTGTCCGTGGTCCGTGGGTGAACTGGAGCAGTGGACCGTGTGGAAGGGCTCTGTCAGCCGCTGTCTGTGTCCCTGGTTCGTATGGATGCTGTGGGTGGGGGTCCACATGAGCAGGTGGGCCCTGCTGCCGCTCACCTGATCTCAGTGTTGGCTCCTTTTTCCCGATCAGGGAGCTGGCCAGGATAAGCTTGGAATCTACGTCAAGTCCGTCGTCAGAGGAGGCGCTGCCGATGTGGTTAGTCGTGTCACACTGTACTCCTGTCCTGTCAGGCAGCCCGGGGTGGGGGGAGGACGTTCCACTGAGAGAAGACACAAGAATGTGTGTAAACACGCCCGACACCTGCTCACTGCCTACTCTTGTCCCTCCTGCCTCCGTGTGATCTCATCCGCACCTGCACGCTCTCACTTGTCTCCCGCACGCCCACCCTTCCCGATGTGGACAGGACGGACGGCTGGCTGCAGGCGACCAGCTGCTCAGCGTGGACGGACGCAGTCTGGTGGGGCTGTCTCAGGAAAGGTAGGATTGCTTATTTTAGATAATGTTTAGCATTAAGTTTGAGATTACAGGATAAAAAGACATTGCCAAAAAGCTATGTTCTCAATTTCTACGTTTTAAAGTGAAAACCTCTCAGTTTACATGGAATTTTATTTGTTACTGATTCCAGAATATATACTTTGGGCTAGAAGAGTTTTTTAAAACATATTAAAAAAAAGAACTTGTGTGTAAGTTTCCAGGTGTTGTCTTCTAATCATACGAGCGTGGGGCAGGGGCAGCCGGCCATGTGTCTCCAGGTCGGTGTCCTGTGAGCTGCCACGGCCACCGCTGTGGTCGTGGTGCTGCCTTCGCTGCTCCAGCCCGACCATGTTCTCTGCAGGGCAGCAGAGCTGATGACCAGAACTAGCTCCGTGGTGACACTGGAAGTGGCCAAGCAGGGAGCCATCTACCACGGCCTGGCCACGCTGCTCAACCAGCCCTCCCCGATGATGCAGAGACGTAAGACCGCTTCTGAAAGCTTGACGTTACCGGTCTCCCCTCGCCTGGTGTTCAGTCACTGCTCAGAGTATCACAGAAACCAGTGTGAAGGCGGGGTGGTTATTCCAGTTCTAAAGGCGAGGAAGTTAAGGGGCCCAGGGTGCCAGCTCTCAGCTGCTGAAACCAGGGCTCCTGTGTGGGCTGGGACTGGGATCCTGCCTCGATTCAGAGTGTCGAGCTCTGAGCGGCAGGAGAGGCGAGGGCTTCGAGTGCGCTGGGCCTCTCTACAGGTGACTCTGCTCACGTGTTGCTCAGTCTCGAACTCGCCTCGCTGGCATGGACGTGAGCTGCCGGTTATACCTAAGCCACCTTGAGCAACAGGCTCAGCTCCTTGAGTCATTGCTGGGACCCACAGCTTTGAGGTGACGTCAGAATTCTCAGTAGCTTCAGTGTAAACTTGGAGCAGCTCTTAGACGTAGTGGAGCACCCTCAGGTGCGAACCTCTCTGAGATCAGTAAACAACTTCCAGGTGCGTCTCCTGACCGAGTGCCAGAGGCCGCCCTCCGTGGGTCGGTCACCCCGATGTAGCAGGTCCTCTGAGCCTGGACCTCCTGCTCTCAGCCCGCCTGGGTGTCGGGGGACAGGCCCTGAGCAGCTTCCCTGTGGGCACGCTGACTTCTGATTACAGTCGCTTAGAAGGAGCAAACCAGCCCACAGTAGATAGTAAGTGTGTCACTGGCCAGCAGAGAGGACGCAAGGTGATGGACGAAGAGCGGCAGCTGCCTGGTCAACACGCTGGGTGATGCAGTGTGCAGTGCGGAGGCCTGAAGTGCTAGGCGAGGGCACTCTCCCTCTTCCAGTAAAGATAGAAATTGTTACTTCAGAAGCACTCTTATTATTTAGGCAGGCTTCCTTTATGAGAAAAGAAAAGAAAACCTGAAAATGCGTTTTTTTTAACTCCTTCAGAAGGTTTTATGGAGCAATGACCGTTTTGTAACACTGATGCTTTTTGATGCCGACCGGCAGCTCTGGGTGGGATTTCGAGCTCGTGTGACCTCGTCCCTCCCAGTAAGCAGGTCTGTCGTGTGGCTGCACCTCACACGCCCTGCTGTGTTCACAGTGTCAGATCGCCGAGGCTCGGGGAAGCCGCGACCCAAGAGTGAAGGCTTCGAGCTCTACAACAACACGGCTCAGAACGGGTCTCCCGAGAGCCCCCCACTGCCTTGGGCTGAATACAGTGAGCCCAAGAAGCTGCCTGGGGACGACAGGCTGATGAAGAACCGTGCTGACCACCGCTCCAGCCCCAACGTGGCCAGTGAGTGCACTGCCTCCGTCCTCAGGCTCCGTGGACCTCGTGAGGGTTGCTGGGGGGTCCCTGTGGGCTCATCGAGGGCCAGAGGGCTCCTGGTCAGTGAGTCGGGACCACTCTGGTGCATGCTCTGGCCAGTCTGCTGGGCGTCCAGAGCCAGGGTGCCCACTGCCAGCAGGAGGGTCGATGATGTTTGTGTTTCCATGTGATACTTAGAAAGGGCAGAGGGTTAGAGGATAGGCTGCAGAGACCTGCGTCTGCTGCACCGCGGCTGCCAGCCTGGTTCTGGGCGGCCCTACGACTTGGGGGGGCCCGAGGGAAGGGTGTGGGCGCGGCCAGTGCGTGCATGTCAGTGCTGGCCCCTTCACTCCGCGTGGGTGGAAGAGACAGTCATTTGTCTGTTAAGCATTAATGGTTCCCTTCCTATCTCCAACAGACCAGCCTCCTAGTCCTGGTGGGAAACATGCGTACACCTCTGGAGCTACAGCCAAGATCACATCTGTTTCTACTGGAAACCTCTGTACTGAGGTCTGAGGAAATGCACTGAGACCCTCCACCGTACCTCAGTACCTAGGTCCCCTCAGAGACTGACTCCCCAGAATGCCCGCAAATTAGCTGCAACACAGTTCTTAAATGTGCAGTATTTAATCTCTGCAGTTTTGGCATAGTGGTTAAGTGTGTGACTATTAAGTAAGTTGGTGGTTCAAATCCGCCACCAGCTCCACAGGAAACTGGCCAGGCTCTCTGCTTCCGTGAAGGTTTACAGCCTTCAGAAACCCAGGACGGGAGGCTCTACTCGGTCCCAGGTCACCGAGCTGAAACCAGTAGCACTGAATGTGGGTGGGTGGTGATGATTTTTGAGAATTGTTTTTATTTTAGTAGTGATCAAGTAAATTCATTGTAAATAGTCTCAACAAAGTAAAGTTTTTTCATTATTCCCAGCATAGAATCAGACATGCATTTGTGAGGTAAAGGTCCCATTACTCTGCATTCTGGAGGACCCCGCCTCCTGTGCACATGGTGAGAGCCACCTCTCCCCGTCCTTCCTTCCAGGAGCAGAGCCCGCCGCCCAGGCCCGAAGCCTACCCCATCCCCACCCAGACGTACCCCCGGGAGTACTTCACCTTCCCCGCCTCCAAGTCCCAGGACCGGATGGTGCCCCCGCAGAGCCAGTGGTCCAGCTATGAGGATAAGCCCCACGTGCACGCAGACAGCAACCACTCCAGCCTCGCCCTTCAGGTGAGGCCTCTCCGAGTGGGACGATGCTGGGTACTGTCACCCTGCCGCCAGCGTCAGGGTGGGGCGGCTGCTGGCTGCCGACAGTTCCCTCTCACGGGGAAGCAGCCTTGGGTGTGAGGACTGGTGTGGGGGGGGCCTCCACCCGGCACCCGGAGCGGGCAGCGGCTGCAGTGCGGCCTTCTCTTTTCCAGCGTGCGACCCGCTCCCAGGAGGAGCTGCGTGACGAGCAGACCTTCTCCCTTGAGCGGCACCACCTGGCGGCCACCCTGGAGCGCAAGGCCGACAGCGACATGTGGATGAACCAGGCCTCCTCCGTGGAGTCCAGCGCCTCCAGCCAAGAGCAGCTGAACCACTCCTCCAAGTCCACCACGCCCGCGTCCACGCTCACGAAGAGCGGCCCTGGCCGCTGGAAGACGCCGGCCTCCCAGCCGACCCCGGTGGCTGTCTCCCAGCCCATCCGCACAGACCTGCCCCCGCCACCACCCCCACCCCCCGTGCACTATGCCAGCGACTTGGACGGGCTGCCGGTGGACCTGCCCCTGCCGCCGCCCCCCTCGGTGGGCACCCCGGCTGCCCAGGCGGCCGCGGAGCGCAGGAAGCGAGAGGAACAGCAGCGCTGGTACGAGAAGGAGAAGGCCCGGCTGGAGGAGGAGCGGGAGCGCAAGCGGCGGGAACAGGAGCGCAAGCTGGGCCAGATGCGCTCGCAGGCCCTCAACCCCGCGCCCTTCTCCCCGGGCAAGGCCGAGAAGGGCAAGGCCGACAAGCCCCCGACGCTGCCGCGGCCGCAGGACACCGTCATCCGCGAGCTGCAGCCCCAACAGCAGCCTCGCACCATCGAGAGGCGCGACCTGCAGTACATCACCATCAGCAAGGAGGAGCTGGCCTCGGGCGACAGCCTGTCCCCCGACCCCTGGAAGCGGGACGCCAAGGAGAAGCTGGAGAAGCAGCAGCAGATGCACATCGTGGACATGCTGAGCCGCGAGATCCAGGAGCTGCAGGCCAAGGCCGAGCGCAGCGCCGAGGAGAGCGACCGGCTGCGTAAGCTCATGCTCGAGTGGCAGTTCCAGAAGCGGCTGCAGGAGTCCAAGCAGAAGGACGAGGACGAGGAGGAGGAGGAGGACGACGACATGGACGCCCTGCTGGTCATGCAGCGCCTGGAGGCCGAGAGGAGAGCCCGGGTAAAGGGGGCCCCGTGGTGGACGCCGCCCGCTGTCTGTCCCCGCCGTGCTGGGTGGCGCGGCCGCCCTGGGAGTGAGTGGGCTGGAGGCTGAGAGGAGGCCGGGCGAAGGGAGCATCGTGGGGGAGGCGCCCGCGCTCAGGCCACGGAGTGAGCGGGACGGGGGCCGAGAGGAGAGGCCAGGGGAGGGAGATCTCACGCCGCCCGCTGGCAGGCCACTCTGTGCTAGGGGCCGTGACGCCCAGGGGCGCGAGCCGGGCGGGGCCGAGAGCTCAGAGGACCTGCAAGTTGTGCGTGTCCGTCCTCACTCTTAGTTAGACTCAGGAGACTTTGCCTGTGACCTTTGTGAGCTCCGTGAGGGCTCGGCCGGCATGGTCTGCATTCCTCACGGGTCCCTCTGCCAGGACAGTGAGGCAGCCAGAGCCCGTCTGTCAGCAGGTGGATCACACCCCTGAGGGGACACCGCGGGCAGGCCCTCTCCCGGCCCCTGGCCATCAGCACACAGGCCCCACAGAGCAGGCTTCCTAACGCCAGCTGCACAGGGCAGCGAGGCAGCGTGTTGAGGGAGAGAGCTGTGGCTCGACTCAGGGCACAGGCTGAGCCGTGACAGGCCCGTGGCCTCTCTGTGCAGACACTGACTGCTGTGCTCACAAGAGTCAGGTCCAGCTGACAAGCACACTGTCCAGATGCCACAGTGAGGAGGCGAGGGAGATGCTGTCACAGCTGGCCCACAGGCATTCCTGGGGTGTCTGGGGGTATGCTTGCACACCTCACATGCCTTTTCAAGACACTTGCCATCTTCCGGGGGCAGACGGTCAAGGGCACACCCCTTGTTCCTCACCCTGGCTGTTAACCTGCACTGAGGCCTGTAGCTCCATATCCGTAAGAGGAATGCTGGTCTTGCTGCCCCCCACCCCCCGAGAACCTTCGCTAGCCAGGGTCAGCAGCGGGCCCAGCTTCACCGCCCTGCCTGTGCAGCCCACTCCTGGAGTCCTGCCTGGACACACTCTCAGCCTGTGGGTGCCGTTTGCCCCGTGGTCAGCAGGGGCCTCCGGCACGTTGGCCATGACACTGAGGCCCCCACCAGCTGTCCGTGTGTGATCCCTGTGCTCCCCAGAGCCCTGGCGCTGAGTGGCATGACCGTCTTCTCTGTGCTTGCTGCAGTCCGTGTGTGATGCCCTCCCCTCTGACCAGGTCACTGTAGGGACATTAGAGGTCACTGTGTAGCCTCGTCCTCCGACCCCCTTCCTGCAGCCAGTTGGAGCAGGACGCTGCTGGGAGGCGTGCCCAGTGCTCAGGCCGTGGAGGAGGGGGTGGCCTTCCTGTGAAGACGTGCTTCTTTGCAGCACTTACCCAGGAGTCCAGAGCCTCCTGTGTGAACTTCAAGTTCATGTGTGCTGACGGCTACTGAGGTCAAGATTCCTGTCCTAGCCACTAAGGGAGAGCTGAGGGGGACGCGTGCATGCAGTCCCGGCTGTCTCAGTGATGGAGCCTCAGTGTGGTTGTAGAGGACGGTGTTCGGCTCCAGCGTCTGGGTTAGTCGCCGTCCCCTCCTTGGCTCGCCGAGCTGCCCTTCGCTGCCCGTCGCGGATAGACAGTCAGGAGAGCCCGGGCAGGCCAGCGGCAGGAAGCAGCGCTGAATGTAACTTCCGTTTTCACACTTCATCTTTCTTTTTTTCCCCTTCTCTGTCACCTGCAGCAGACTGCTATGCCAGCAATCTCTGTTCTAGATTTGGTATGTTCTTGTTTCTTTGCCTTTGGGACTTTTCTGTCTCGGTTTCCTTTCTCCCAGTGGGGGTGTTGTGTGTTCTGCATAGACCGCTCCTGAAGGGTGGTCTCGCCCAGGTGTGTAGCTCAGCATTCCAGAAGCATGCCTGGAATGTGCTCGATCTCCCGCTGTCCCCGTCAGTCCCCGTCAGCTGTGTCCTGTCCGTCCCACTTCTCACCTGTCCTTGGTCTTAGTCCTAGTTCCCAGTCTGTGTTCTTAGCTGTTCAAGCACGTGAGCACACAGGGCTTGCCGTGAGTAACGTCATTCATTCTTGTCACTTTTCACTGGTTGTTGCACATGGAGTGGTCGGTCTGGGGTTGACAGTGAACCACGTACAGTCGGACTGTTGAGGGAGTGTGAACTCCAGGTTCACACTGATTCTTAACCAGCAGCACACTTGGGCGCGGCCTTCTCCATAACGGCACCCTGGCTGTACCCTCGGCCTGGGCATTGGGCATCTGTGGACCCACAGGCCAGACAGCCGCCGTCTGCTCCTGGGCCCCCAGCCAGCTGCTCCCGGTGCTAATGACCGGCCCCCCACACCTGCACTTCTGTTTCTAGTGCCCCCCTCACAGGCTGGCCGGACCGCCCCGGTTCACACAGGATCCTCGTCCCCCGTGCAGCTCACCCCTTTGCTGACCCCCCTTCCTTCCGTCTGCATGCTACAACCCCTGCTCCACCCTGTGGTCACCTGCTCCCTGCAGCCCCCGTCTCACTCCACACACTCACTGTGCACCCTGTGGTGTTTTAGGGCTTCTCTCTCACTCCCCCACACTGCTGACCTCACTTCCTTGCCATCTCAGTGCCCGGGGCCCATGGGGACACAGGACCACAATCTGAAGCTGGGGACAGGGGCTTCCTGGCTGAGGGACATTGTGTTTCTGGGTCCGTCATCTCGATAGGAACCCTGGTGTAGGCCTGCTGCCCTCTGTTGCAGGACCCTGCCACATGACACAGCAAAGGCCCTTCCCCACGCCACAGCTCAGGTGTGGCACTCGCCCTGCCTGGGGAGACCTGAGCCTGGCCTCCCTGCCCATGGGCCTGTCTGGTCTTGAGGTAGTGTGGCCTGGTACCCAGGGAAGTGCTTTAGAAATGTGTTGGCACTCATTGGCCACTGGTCTCCAGAGCTGCCACCCAAGGCTGCCCACTCGGGGGGCAGCACCTGTGACATGGGCTCTGCCGGGCCACCTCCAGCCCCTCGATGCTAAGGATTGGCACAGGCCCAGCGGGGCTGCCTTGGAAGAAGGCCTGGACCCAGAATGAGGCATGAGCTCAGCCACAGCCCTTAGGACACTGATCCGCAAGAAGTAACGGACGGGGCTCCAGCTTGGTACAGCCCTGCCCGCAGGGGTCAGCTCTCCATCCAGATGGTCCTACTCAGCTCTGGGCCAGCCTGAAGCTTCTTCCCCACACAGAGAGGCGTTTGCTCAGGTGGGACTGAACCCACGGTGTGGAGGAAGGCACCCAGAGCCGCATGCGCAGGGGCTGAGCTGTTTGCAGGGAAAGTGTCCTCTCGTGTGCTGCTGGGAGCCCGGGAGTGCAGGTGGGAGGCGTGCAGTTCCTGACACCCTGACCCACACTGCCTCCCTGGGTCTGGGGGTGCTGTCCCAGGGGAGAGCGCCCTGACACACCTTCCGGCTGGAGGGGCCGCTGTCCTGGGGGTGTGCACCCCGGCACGGCTTCCAAGTGGAGAGGGGGCTGTCCCGGGGGCACAGGTTCCAGGAGGAGAGGGCACTGTCCTCGGGCACAGCTTCCAGGTGGAGGGAGGTCTCTAGTCCAGACCGCATGGCTTGTCTGTGAGAATTGTCAGTGCCACCCCGTTCTTGGATTCACGGGCTGCCTGGCCCCAAGGGGGTTCCAGCTCACTGTGACCCACACGTCAGCCACCTGCCCCTTAGGGGTGACGTGGCTCACCTGCCAGGCACTCGGCACCTCGCGTGGAGGTTTGTAGTGGAGGGAGGCCTGGACGAGGGTCGGCCGGCGCAGCCGTGCGTGTGCTCACCGGGCTCGCTCACTGGGTCCAGCGTGGGCCGGGGCACGTTAGCGTGCTGTGCTGCTGCTGCCCTGGGGCCCGTTGGCCACCCTTCTGCAGAGCGTTCATGCTCCGCCTGCCACCCGGTTGGAGTTTCCTTCTTGTCCATTTCTGAGCGACCGTCTCACAGCTGTCCTGGGGGCCTGACATTCTCCTGACCCGCTTCCCCATCGGCTGTCCGCTCAGGACAGCAACCTCCTCAGCCCCCAACAGGAACCGCCTGTCCAGGTCAGCCCGGTGCGTGCCCGCCGCCCCTCGCCGCGGAACACCACTCGGCACCCGTTCCCCACCTCTGTTCTGCTGCAGAGTGGAGGGGCAGTGGGCTGTCTGAGCGGCTCTGCAGGCCTGCAGTCGTGTGAGGGCCTTTCCCACCTGCTGTGTGTTCTCCAGGAAGGGCTTTTCTCACAGCCGTGCAGGCCTGGGGCTGGTGGCAGTGGGCATGACGCCATTGTCCGCTGTGGTCATGGGAGTGAGGCCGTGTTCATGCGATGGGAGACCGGGCTTCACAGGGACGCTGAGTCGGCCTGGTGGTCAGGGGACCCACACATTTTAGTAGGATGACCACTTCCTTGAGGACATGAAAAGGGTGGGGGAGAGGCCCAGCCTGGCATGAGGGCAGAGCTGGAGTGACCAGAAGGCGGACATGGTCAGATGGGCTTGCCCGGCTTAAGAACCTGTGGCTTTTGGAAACTAAAATAGGGTTTAGAGAGCGTGTCCTCAGACCCTTGGCTTGTGCAGCCAGAAATGGGCATTGAGACGTCAGTGTGGGTGCCAGTCAGAGGACCAGACAGGAGGGCATGAGAGCTCAGGACCACAGCACATGAGTGGAGTCCACGTAGGACGTGCTGGTTAGTGCAGAAGCATGAGCCCTGGGCCAGCACCGGTGGGGGCAGGCAGGGAGGACAGCGGAGCCCTGGGCCGGCTTACCTGAGTCTGCAGGGTGTGGAGTGTGTCTGTCCTGTCGGCAGTGGTCTGTATCTTGTGTGTGGGCTGTGCATGCGTGCGCGCGCGCGTGTGTGTGTGTGTGTGTGTTTGTACACATGCACGCGCTGGGCTGGGCCAGCCGCCAGGCGGAGGTGGACGCATTCTCTCATTGTAGGGTGTGGAGCGTGTCTGCCCTGTCGGCAGTGATCTATATTGCGTGCGCACGCGCTGGACTTGGCCAGTCTCCAGGCGGAGGTGGACGCACTGTCTTCTCAGTTGCAGGACGAGGACCGACGGAGGCAGCAGCAGCTGGAGGAGATCCGGCAGCGGGAGGCGGAGGACCGTGTCCGACAGGAGGAGGACCGTGCACGCTGGGACGAGGAGCGGGGCCGGCGGGACGCTGAGGAAAAGGTCCTGGTCCTCTAAGGAGCTAGTGTCCTCGTAGCCTGAGCGTAGTGTGGCTGGGGCCAGGGGATAGGCTGCTAGCACCTAAGATGTCACGGGTCTTAGGTGGCGACTGGACTGGATCTTCCAGCTCTGAACTCTTGTCTTCACCTCCTCTGAGCGGGTCTGCCTCTGGCCTCCAAGGAGCCTTCTGTCTGCTAGGCACGGTCCAGCTGGCCTTGTGACGTGTGGTTACTTTACAACTGAGTGTCAGCCCCGGGAGGCAGTAGGGATGTAGTAAGAGAACCAGTGAACACAAAATGGTTTCAGTTAATTCTTTGATTAGTGTTGCTCACTTATGTTTTTGTCAAAGAGAGCAAGATGGCTTCTGCGACTTTCTCAAGGACCGTTTAGTTTAGAATGTAATCTGAACAGTCCAAGGAGTGACTTCCTTTCCCGCTGTTACTCTGTTTTCACGTGCTGTTGGAGTTGGAAAGTTCGTTCTCTGCATCTTCAGTGTCTCTCCATCTCGTCTGTTCCTCTGCTGGGCTCTGCTAGGAGCAAGGCTCTGGCCACGTGTCGCTGTGTCTGTCCTGAGGAGGCTGCCTGTGGTCACCCACTCTGGGGAGCTGCCCTTCCGTGAAGGGGGAGCTGTGGGTGCCATGCCTGCCAGAATTGGCCTTTATCCGTAACTCCCTCCTCGGCTCCAGGGAGGTCTGGGACAGTGAACCAGCTTCCCCTAAACACGCATGCGTGCTCCTCTGGACCAAGGGAGGCTGCTGGGGGCCTCGGGGCTTGCTGGCACGAGGTGGACATGTGCTGGCCCAGTGTCTGGCTCCTCTGACCCCTCTGAAGCAGGTCCTGCGGGGAGCACCTCTGGGCTCAGATCTTACAAGGAAACCTGCGCTCTGCGTCTTTCAGTCACAGAGTTGAGACTGGAGACCTTGGGGAGGAAATCAGATTTCTGAAGTTTTGACGTTGCAGCCACCTGTCTGGCTAAGTTTTTAACGGGGACGTGTTGGGGTTTTTGTTTTGTTGTGTTTTATTTCCTTGTGCGGGTTCATGGACACTCCTCCTGCCTGGCTTTTGGAGCCTGTCCTGTCAGCTGCGCCCGTTACAGCACATCGGGTCCGGGGGCCCGGCCACCACGCGAGTGGGACCAGGCCACTGGGCCAGGGGCCGAGTGGAGCAGCTCTCGGCTGCATGTCCAGCTATGTTCTCGTGACTGTCCTGACACACGCGTCTGTTCTGGCACCTGCTTCTGTAGCCCCTGTCGCCGTGAGAAGTCCACCAGTGAGCACGTGGACAGTGGCTTTGTCAGAGGAGTGGGCATGGGAGCGCCTTCTCCTTGGGCTGTGCATGGCAGCTGGTGCCTGCCGGGTGACCAGCAGCTGCCCTCTGTAATGCGAGGCCTGACGGCCCATGCCAGCCACTGCAGGCACACTGGGGTCCCTTCCCCAAGGACACAGTGGACTTCAGCAGAGCGCTGACCCAGCCCCTGGGGGTGGAGGATGGGCCAGGCGTCCCCCCTCAGAGAGGTGCTTGTGTTCCCAGTGTGGGTGTGAGACAGGCTGTGTGTGCACATGTGTGAGAGACTTCAGTCTCAGGACTGTGCCTTCAGGGTCTCGGGGGTGCGCGCTGTGCTGTGCACGTGGGGTGCACGTGTGAAACTTGGGAGGTGTGTACAGCGGGATGTGTGTTGTGCATGTGAGGTGTGAGGCCTGGGTCTACTGTTACAGGTGTGTACGTGTGGGCACCGTGTGTCTGCAGTGCACACACTTGCACTCTGAGGCAGGTATGCACGGGGATGTGAGTGACTTTTGTGGCCTGTGTGTGTGTCACGCTGCGGGCAGTAGTGAGAAGCACAGCCATCAGAATGGATGTGGAGGACAGCTGCTGTCCTCGCGCTGACTGTTAATTCAGGTGGCGGCGGACGACGCTGCCTGCCTCACTCGGTTCATTTTCCGTGTGCTCTAAGCTGTGTTGACTTTAACGAACTGTGCTGTTGCCTTTTCTGCTGTTCACTGGATCTCACGCATAGCTGTCGCCTGTAGTGTGTGTGTCGGAGGAGATACACACCACATATCAAATATATTTGCATTCCTCTTCTGTTGACGCTGCTCTGATTTCCTGTCTGTCAGGGTGTCGCTAAGTGGAGATGTAAGTGAGGGCCGTGGGCACACGTGGGGACAGTGCTCTCAGGGCTCCGTGGTGGTTCTGGGCCCGCCACGCGCTCCCTGCAGGAGATGGACCCCGGATCCCTCTGGGTCCCACAAGTGAGTGTGTGCCTGTGCGTACGCGGCCTGCACGGCCACCTACCGTGGTGTGCTGTGTCCTGGCACCGCAGAGGCAGGTAAGTGCACACTGCACAGAGCCAGGACCAGTGTGGCCAGACCGTGCCTGGCAGAGGTGGGCAGCGGCCTGTGCGGACCCCGCCCTGTCCCCGTGACGAGGGCAGTTCTGTGTGAGACCACGTCCTTGAGTGACCAGAGAGCCCAGTCGCAGGCACCCACGTGGCCCTGTGACGCGGGGTGGAGGCGGGGTGGCAGGGGGCCCTTCTGTGCATGTGCTGGGCGGGGCACTGTCCCGTAGAGGGCCCACCCCGTGCCCGTGTGCCCACGACACTGTCCGCCCTTGGCCGGCTGGGGGCACCGTTGGAGTGGAGGAGGAACCCCTCCCACGTGCACCTGCACGCTTGCTGTGCTCAGGGTGGTGGCGGGCCCCGCTCCGTGTTCACAGCGCTGTCCGGCGTGGAGGCGGCACCCCGAGGCATGCGGGCCCTCCCCTGTCTGGGCGATGGAGGGGCCTGCAGCCGTGGTGGGATGGGGGGTGCTGTCTGGGGACAGCAGGGGCCCTGTGTGCGTGGGGTGACCCCGGCCCCAGCCGCTGACTCTGCTCTCCGTGTGTTTGGCCCACAGAGGCGCCAGGAAGAAGGGTACTACAGCCGCCTGGAGGCCGAGCGCCGTCGCCAGCATGAGGAGGCCGAGCGGAGGCTGCTGGGCGCCGAGGAGCCGGCCCTGAGCAGACCCCCGCCCCCTCGAGACTACCAGCCCGCTGGCCCGGGGCCTGTCCCCGGCGCCCCACCACCGCCGCCGCAGCGCAACACCTCCTACCTCAAAACGCAGGCCCTGTCTCCTGACTCGCTGTACACAGCCAAGTTCGTGGCCTACGAGGAGGAGGAGGAGGACGCCGGCGGCCCTCCAGGTCAGGATAAGTACACCAGCACGAGGAAGTCTTACGGGGACCTCCGTCCCGCCCCACAGCTACCACCTGCCGGCCCAGCACGCCCCGTCTCCGATGGCATTTTTCTTTCCAACTCCTTCCGGCCCCTCTCGGCCAGTGCCAGCAGTACTGGCCGCAGAGCAGGCCCGCCCCCTCCACTCAAACCCAGCCTCCGCCAGACTGCGAGCTCCAAAGGTAGGGCCAACAGTGGCCTGGTGATCGGGAGTTGGCCTCTGTCCCCCACTGTCCCCCCCAGATCAGCGCGCAGTGTGATTGATTGATTGATCGCTCCCCAGTGCCTCCAATCACGCTGTGATCACGCTCAGAGCTCTGTCCTGCCCTGACGGCCCTTGATCACTCTTGCCGTCAGGCCCCAGGCCTTTGCTGCTCTCTCCAGCTCTGTTGGTTTTGCCTGGCGTGTTCCCCTCTGAGTCATGTCTCCTGCCCCTTCACATTTCCGTGTCTCTGTCCCCTTCCGGCCTGTTGGCCGTGCTGTGGACACAGCTCAGCGTCCTCTTTGACATCAGCAGAGCTCTGAATTCTGGGTGGGGGCTCAGTTGAGTGGTGGTGGGGTCGGGCCCTGCCCGACTAGGCCCAGGGCCTTGTGGTTTGTGAGTGCTGTTCTGCCTTCGTCCCTTTGACTCCTGGGCCTCTGTCACTCAGCATCTCAACATTGCAGCCTTCTAACAGACGGGGGCTTGGCAGCCAGTGGTCTTGGAGGTAACTGCCACGATGACCAGGGCTGACAGCCAGCATTTCTGGCACAGGTCCAGGTGACTGGCTGCCTGTTTAAAAACAGCGGTCAGTTTTCCCTGCAGCCTCTACGCGGCTCAGCCCTGACCGGCTCCCTGTGGCTGAGTTGGGCAGATGGTTCTGGCCAGCATTCCCCCTTAGTCCCCTGGAGCAAGCCTTGGTCCACTTTGAAGGGTCAGTTAGACTTTCACTGGTCACTCTGGAGGCCTCTTTTGAGCAGCTTTCAGTGTCGCCACCTCGAGGTGGTGGCCCTTAGCAACACCACTGAGCAGGTCTGCAGCAGGTGCCGGTGGCCCGTGTCAGAGTGGACGCTGGACCATAAACACGGGTCAGGGATAGATGACAAGCGTGGTGTGATGATGGCCCCTCCCGCTGCCAGCCCTCACGCTTGCCCCGGCCTCCACATGGGAGCGGGCCAGTCCTGCACCTGCTTTGGACACTGGGAGACTGCCGCGACCCTCAGCTGACAGTGCTCCGTGCGGCGTCGCTGTCCCCGTCACCTCTGTGCCCCTTGTCCTCTGCACCCCCCGGCCTCTGCCCCCGTCCCTGCCACCTGTGCACCCCCGTCCCCGTCACCTCTGCACCCCCCAACCTCTGCCCCATCCCCTTCGCCTCTGCGCCCCCCATCCTCTGCACCCCCCGACCTCTGCCCCTGTCCCTGCCACCTGTGCACCCCCGTCCCCGTCACCTCTGCACCCCCCAACCTCTGCCCCATCCCCTTCGCCTCTGCGCCCCCCATCCTCTGCACCCCCCGACCTCTGCCCCTGTCCCTGCCACCTGTGCACCCCCGTCCTCGTCGCCTCTGCACCCCTTGTCCTCTGCGCCCCCTGTCCTCTGCACCCCCTGACCTCTGCCCCCGTCTGTCACTTGTGCACCCCCTGTCCCCATCACCTCTGCATCCCAGTCCCTGTCACCTCTGTGCCCCCTGTCCCCTGCGTCCCTGTCCCCGTCACCTCTGCGTCCCCCTGTCCTTGCAGCTGCCTCTCATCGCCTGGCCTCTTCCACTGGGCCGTGAGCACACATGTCCAGGGCGTGGCACACACGCTGTGAGCCTGCCGGCAGCCTCTCACACTCCCAGAACGCTGGAAATGAAAAAATAAAAAAGTTGGCTTTGTTTCTGCCAGTGGAAGAAGCTAGTGCCATCCCTAAAACAAAGCTCAAAAGATGCAACACAGTACTTCTAAAAACAAAATTAAGAAAAGCCTGTGATTGGAAACTCCCCCGCTGTGTGAACGGTTCTTCCGCAGGCCCACTGGCCACTTGCTCTCAGGTGTCGTGACTCTTTGCTGAGGGTGATGTCCTGTGGTCAGCACAGCCCTGAGTGGACAGGGTGAAGATGCAGTGCCCCAGAGAGTGGCAGGCCTGGCTCTGCTGGGAAAGGGACTTCACGGGCTGCCTTCCTTGAGAAAGCACATGCACCCTGTCCAGTGGAAAGACCACTTCCTTGTGTGGCCTGGCCAGTGCACACCGTGCCGTAGCAGCGGCCTTTGCAAGTAGGAGATTGTTTTCTCTCCCTCACTAATGTCGCGTTAGTGCTGCCCTGTGCGGGGCACTCCTAAAGCACTGCCATAGCCTGTGACCCGTCCTCCATGCCGCCGAGGACCCTGCTCCACCCTGGGCAGAGGGCCCCAGCTCGAGCCAGGCTGCCCGCCACGCCCTGCTCTGCACACCTGTCTGCAGCACGAGCTCTGATATCTAAATGCCAGGTTCTTTGGGTAGTTTTAGAAGATTTTTGGTTTTAGCAGCTTGGTTTGTGAGGAAGCCTGTTACTGCAAAGGGTCCCATTTCCTTTGGCCATGTGTGCTGCGGACGCCAGGGCCCTCTCCTTGGTGGTGCTGGCCGAGGCTCTCCGTGATAAAGTCATCATGGACCCACGTGTTTTGGTGCAGCTGTCCATCAGTTCCTCTCAGCCTGTGTCATTTTCCTGACCTGTGATTCAGGGCATGAGGGCAGGGAGTGTGCCCCTTCCTACCTTGGCCACTAGAATATGTGTGTTTCACATTGATGGGACTGACTCGCACGAACAGAGCCTTTTGAGTCCTTGCTTAGGCCGTGGTGGTGAGCGAGGCCTTGATTTCCTGGGGTTCTGCATCTTGACATGTGCAGCACAGAGTGGGTGGGGCCACAGCACTAACTGTCACTTTCTCTGTTCTCGAAAAGGGCCCAACTCACACACAGGACCAGCTGGAACCGCTGTGAGCACTCAGGCCTGTCGGGACCCGGGAGAGAAGTGGGCAAAAAGGTACCGCAGCTGTAGGTGTGGGGCCCCCTGCCACCTCTCTGTCCACACACATAGATTTCCCTGCTGTGTGGCCGGCACTCAGCACTTCTGGACAGTGTAGTCAGGACACGGGGCAGGGGTCACACCACTGTACCCTCCTGCCAGGGATAGGTGGACTGACTGCCTGATGGTACAAGGCGTGGGGTGGACACAGGACTGCTGCGGCACCGGCCATTCTCACATCCCTGGATTGCTAGGACCTGACAGGAGAATCACAGGGTATCACGCTGTAATTCTTTTTAATGTTGTTGTTGTTACGTGTCATCAAGTTGGCTATGACTGTTCATATGTCCAGAGCTTGTGATTAACAGCTCTGAACCCTTTCCTGTCCTGAGCCAGCCTCACTGTCTCTGACATACCAGAAGCCCTTGACTTAGTTACTGTGTCATTCCCCTGCAGCCTCCCTCTCCTGCGCTGGCCCTCCACCCTTCCAAGCATGAGGTCCTTCTCCAAGGACTGGGCCCTCCTGGCAGTGTGCCCAGTCAACATGGTTACTGTTGTATCAGGTGGATTTTTAATGTCCGTCAAATAACAAGTAATATTTATTTAAAAAGCTGTGTTTTTAAATTCTTGGCCTTTAGTTGAGTTTACTAAGCTGGCAGAAATGGCCTTCTTGCTAAAAGTTACTAGCATTTTAGATGCATCCGCTATTAGGAAAAACTAAAGAAGAGTTTACACAGGGAAAGAAGCCTGTTTGGTGGGTGACAGGGCTGTAAAAGGAGGCAGAGGAAAGAGAAGAAAATGACAGTGCAGTAGCAGAAGTGATGTGTGTCTGGGGGACGTGAACACCTCCCTGCCTGCCCTCTCGATGGTCATGATCATCCGTGGTCAGGGAGGAATGTATGGGCGGCTGGCACCCCGGGGACTGGCCCTGCCAGGCTCCGTTGCTGAGCGTTTGCATCAGAGATGCTCTTGAGAGAATCCTGATCAGAAGTGGTGAAAAATGTAGACCAGAATTCCAAATTCTTGGGGACCTAGACTCTGTGCAGGCACGTCCTTGGAACTGCCGTCCTGAGGCCTTTCGACCTTACACCGCCCAGCAGTGCTTTACCGACTGGTCACGAGTGGCAGCCGCGAGCCTGGAGTCACGTGAACTCCTGGACGGCTCGCGGTGGTCGTCAGGTGCCGGTGGGTGGGGTGACATCGGTGTGTGTGACCACGAGTCGGCAGGGGCACCTCTCTTGGCTGCCCGCTGTGGACTGGCTGGTTGACCTGTGACTGACACGGCCCCTCTCCTCTCTCCCCACGCAGTCAAGACGCCGACGTGCCTGGGAGCACGGGAGCCCCCGAGAACCTGACGTTCCGAGAGCGCCAGCGCCTCTTCTCTCACGGCCAGGACGTGTCCAATAAAGTGAAAGCCTCACGGAAGCTGATGGAACTGGAAAACGAACTCAACACAAAATAGGGGCCGCGGTGTCGGGAGTTCTGTTTGTGCAGTGGAGGCGACACGGAGGTGCCCCCGTGCCGTTCTGTGACTTTCCCCAGGACGGCCCTGTAGCCACTGTAAACACGTCTTGCTTTCTCATGGTCTGGGTCTCATGAAGGTGACTTGGTCGGTGCCCGTGGGAGTCTGAGTCCAGAGGGAGGAGGAGTGGGTGGGAGCCAGGGGAGCACTGTCTCCCTTGCTCTTCCATGGAATTGACCCCGGAGCGCAGACAGTGAGGTTCTATTTCTGTTCTGGTTTTTGAAATAATTTTATTTTAGCTGTCAGAGAAAAGCTTGAATTCCCATGGCACTTGTGTGTGGGACCCCAGCCCTCGGGCTGGCCTCTGGGGGCTCCCAGAGTGCCTGCTGCTGCCGTCACTGCCAGTTATTTGACTGAGAAGTCCTCACGGGAGAAAGGGCCGAGGATGAGGGCTGCTTGGTTTCTGTCAACACCAGGCTGTCCTTGTGAGGGTACACGGGTCATTCCGATGGTGACCCGAGATTGGGAAGCAGATACTCTGGTATTCCAGATGATGTGTGGACTGGCAGTGCTCCCTGTGCGCAGGGACACGTACAGAGGACAGGGGACCCCGGTGGCCTGAGGACGGGTCCTGTTCTGTCAGGGACGGCATGTGCTGTCCGCTGCCTCTGACCCAGGCGGAGGGGCTCGCGGCTCGAGCCACGGCTCACTCTGTAGTTGATTATTTAATGTGACTCTTGGATGAACTGTGCCCGGTGGTGGCAGATGGCTGGTGCCGCGGGGCTGCCGACTGCCTGCTGTGAGGGGAACATGCTGAGCACGTTTCTTTGACCACGCTCTGCTCTGGGGCTCGGATGCTTTTCTGTACTCTGTTCTCTGAAATGCGTGTTTTAGAAGGTGCACACTCTGGAATCCTAAGGCTGTGACTGCCTTAAATGATTCTGTGAGGTGTATGGTCACTGTGTGAGTGGGCACACTTTGTATCTTCAGGGCTCCTCTTTGAAGGTGTGCACACCCGTACCTCTTGCTGGGGGGTTTGGTGGTCCTGGGTGTGATGAAGGAGGCCTTGCTGCTCCGGGAACACGGGACACAGCTGCTCTGTCTCCTGACAGCACTGGCTGCCTCGAGGTATGGGGACCCGCACGCCCTCTGACCTGTTACTGCCCAGAACACCGTGACTACACGGCGCAGACAGCCCACACCAGCCGCTGCCGTGCGCTCCTGCCCGGTCCTGGGCCCCTGTGGGCGGACAGCCATGCCGTCGGATGTCAGGGGGGTCTGTGTGGGAACGCGGTCTCTTCTTCCTGTCGAGCAGCTGGTGGGTTCAAACTGCTGAACTCTGGGGCCGCAGCCAAGCGCTGAGACCACTCTTCCACCGGAGCTTTTGCAGGTCCCGGGGGGTGTCCCCACAGGGAGATGTGGGGGTGGGCGCCCAGCCGCTGGCTCTGGCGGTGTGCAGGGACAGGTGCGGTGTGAATATGTGTAGAAGTGCTTTTCATAACTGTGCATTGCTATGGAGAAACACCAAAACTGCTGTAGTTTCCCATTTCTACTGTATTTCGGTTGCAACCTATTTTTAATAAACTTTGTATTTAAGTGTATTTACTACATGAACTGTGTGGACAACTGTATCTGTTGTCACTGTCTCCATGCCTTACCTGCGCTCACCGTCCGTGCCTTACCTGTGCTGCGCTCCTGCAGGAGGCTGCTCTGTGGCCGTGTCCTCCGCCCACGGCTGGTCCTGCTACTGCGGATAGGCCTCGGTCACTGCCGGCTTGGCCTCACTGACCACAGCTGCTTAGGACGACGAAGCTGGCTCAAGTTCCTCAAGTGGCAAGGCCCCTGCCCTGCACCTGTCCAGGCCCTGCCCTCCCCTGCAGCCCCTGTCCACATGTGGCCTGCTCACTCGCCCTTGGTGAGGGGACCCCGTGCACAGCAGGACGATAGCCTGCCTGTGCTGCTTCCCCCTGCTCTCTGCTTGAGCCCCGTGACCCCACTGTTGATGCAGTGACTGTCCACCTCGATGAGGGGCTGCCCCTTCTACCAGCCCACTGCTTTGCAAGCATGCTGTGCTTTTCCAGGGACTGGTCCATCTTGACAACATTATGTGAGTGAGCTCAGGTGTCACTGTCCTCCCCAAGACAGGTGTTTATTCTTGTTTATTTGTATTTATCCAGCTCCACAGTCAAAGCTTTCCTTAATAATTTTCTTTCACAAGTCTAGGGAATATTAGAGATAACATGGCTTGTCAGGCACACCTCAGTTCTTAAAGTGGTATCCTTGCTGTTCAGCACTGAAGAATTCTTGGCAGCAGAATTCCCCAGTGTAACATGGCACTTGATTGTTAGGACAAGCAGGATTGTGTCATCTGTGTATCACGAGGTGTGCACCTTCCGCCACTTCTGATGCCACCTTCTTCGACAGGAGGACTTGAATATTATTTTAATACCTGGGAAGACACTGTCTTTGAGCCGACCTGGGAACTAGCCCTGCACTAGCCAGTGAGGGCACTGGTGTTTCCAGGATTGGTTTGCCTAAGGAGTTGGTTTTGTTGCCTGAAAACAGAATAAAGGGGTAGAGGGTCTGGATGCACTGGAAGCAAGTTCCTGACGCTGAGTCTGACCCTGGGCACGGTGACTTTTGACATTGTGTTCATTCGGCCGCTCCACAGGGACTGGTGAACAGGACTGGTGAACAGGCCTTGGCTTCCTGGGGATGGGCCTGGGGGGAGGGCTGAGGGAGAGGCTCTGGCTGGGGCGGGGCCTCGCTGGGCGGGGCCTGAGGGAACGCCTCTGGGGCGGGGATCTGTGGGCGGGGCCTGAGGAAGCAGCTGAGCAGAGAAACACCTCCCGGGCGGGGGCGTATGTGGGCCCGAGGGAACGCCCCCAGGGGCGGGGCCCGAGGGAACACCTCTGTGGGCGGGGCCCGAAGGAACGCCTCCGGGGGCGGGGCATCTGTGGGCGGGGCCCGAGGAAACCGCCTACTGGCAAGTGACAGCTGAGGGCCTGGTGAATATGGCGCAGAGCAGACAGCTGAGAGAGCAGCAGGTGCGGCCCCAGGTGCTGGTGAGTCGGTGGGGTTCCCACCCAGAGTCTGCGCCTCTGGGCCATGCCCCCCATGTGTATAAAGCATCCCGCACGCTTCCACACCACACGCCAGTTTACCCAGTGTCCACCCCGCATCAGCTGCCCGCACCCGGGTGGCCTTCAGGAGGCCCTCCTGTCCCTCTGCCCCCAGGTCCATGCTCGGCTCTCTGCCTGCTGTATGGTGGACCCGCTGTGCTGCGGTGTCCAGAGTCAAACCTGAAGCTCTCCTGCGGGGCCCTGGGTACTAATCCAGAGGTCCGTGGTTCAGGTCCACCCACAGGGACCTGCGAGAGTGGAGATTTGCACCCCGAGATCAGCCACGGGGTCCCCAGCACGGGTCTGCCTGACGCACGGAGTCACGTGACTAACCCCCACACAGGCGTTTCCCCGCCCTTTCAGGGTGTACCTATTAATTAATTTGGCCGCCCCAGTACAGCCAGGGACCTGGTCAGAGCTGCAGAGTGAAGAGTGGGGGACACACATTCCCCCTAGTACAGATAGGGGACTGGCCAGAGCTGCAGAGCAGATGAGGGGGTCATACACCCCAGTCCAGCCAGGGCCCTGGCCTGAGCCAAGAAGCAGAGAGCAGTGAACACCCAGCTTCCCTTCCCTCC